TTTCGGTAGCGGTAGCGGCGGCGGCGGCAGTGGCGCGGGGCGTGGTCCGTGGAAGGCGTACCGGACTCAGACCAAAATAAGAGGTGCAGAGGGTCCAGGGTTGACTCGTGGCGGCGGAGAGTGACCTGCGGTCTTGTATTAAGAACGGAGGCTTCGGACTGAACGGGCGTCGCTCTGAGGTCAGGAAGTCGCATACCTTTCCCCGGACGCGGCCCCACTCACTCTCGCCCCCGCCTTTTTGGCGTCGGACCTCGGCCCAGTCCAGGCCGGTCGCCGCCCCGCGACAGCGGACACTAGGGGTGCCCCGAGGCGCTGCGGCCTCCTGGGCGAGAGGAAACCCGAGGATGATCGCGCCTCTCCCTTGGCCTGTGCAGAGCCCGCAGTCTAGGGTTGGGGTGGGTCACAGAATTCCGCCTCTGTCCCCAGACAGGCTTTTGCCTCTGAACCTCAGTTCCTCTATCAGCAAGGAGGGGTGAACGACAGTACTTACGGAGCTGTGGAAAGGATTAAATGGGGTAAAGAGGTAATGGTGGAAATAAAGCGGTCACATATAACAGGTCCTGGCATGTCATAAGTGTTTAACAAGCAGCTTCACCAGTGACAGTTGTTGCTGTTATTTCCAGGCCTGAATCTGTGATTGTTGTAACTGCGGGGATTTAGATCCACGGCCTATATCTGTTCTTGTTTCTCTTTTCTATGTCGTCCCTCCAGATATATTCATTTCTCTTTACTTAGCACTACCCTACCCGCCCTGCCTTCCCCCGTACAGATATCTGCTGGGAGTGAGGGGTAAGCATGGCAAATGTAGAGATGCCTCAGTCTGGTCCCTGCTGTCTTCCGGTCAGTCCTTGCTGACATGCACTAGGAATACAAATACAGTGTGTCTGGGGCGACAGACATGTAAACAGCCCCTTGCTAGGAGAGAGAAGTGGTGTGAAAGCTCACTTTTGAGCTAGGTTGGGAAGGATGATTAAGTTTTACAGGCTGTATATGGCAAGATTCAAACGTGGTGGCAGGATATGGGCGTAGCAGGAGAGCAGAAATGGGTAGGTTGAGACTAGTGTATGAAAAATTGGAAAAACCGCTGCTGATGCTATCTAACGAATGGCTAGGAGAGGAGCAGGGCTGGATATAGGAAAACTAGTGGACAGGATTATTGGGTGGATAGGGTGGGAGGTGGTGGAGATTATGAGACCTGAACTGAACTAGGAAGTGGAAGTGGAGAAAAGGTTTAGAGACAAACTCATAGATGCAGACAAAAGAGTGGCGGTTACCAGAGGAGAAGGGAGGTGGGGAGAAGACAAAGGGTAAAGGGGGGGTCAAATATAAAGGGCGGAGCAAAAGTAGGTTTATAGTTGTGAGTATGCAGAACAGAGTTTATTCTTGTGTTATTTATTGTACTATTTTTTTTAACCTTAAACCTACTTTTGCCCCACCCTGTATAGTGACAGAAGGAGATGACTTCTGATAATGAGCACACAATGGAGTATACAGATGTTGGATTATGAAGTTGTACATCTGAAGTTTATATAGTGTCATTAACCAATGTTATTGTAATAAATTTAATTTAAAAAAAAAGAAGTAGAGGCTGTTAGAGGTAGAGTGGATGGAATTCTAGATCTGGACATTTTAAGAGTAAAAAGTAAAGGATGATGTGATTTTTCTAGTTTGGAAGACCATGTAGGTCATAATGCCATCAACTGAGTTAGGAAATTAGGGACCAGTTAAACACAAAATAATTGGGAAATAAAAGAGGTTATGTGGCCCTAACTGGTTTGGCTCAGTGGATAGAGCGTCGGCCTGCGGACTCAAGGGTCCCAGGTTCGATTCTGGTCAAGGGCATGTACCTTGGTTGTGGGCACATCCCCAGTGGGGAGTGTGCAGGAGGCAGCTGATCGATGTTTCTAACTCTCTATGTTTCTAACTCTCTATCCGTCTCCCTTTCTCTCTGTAGAAAATCAATAAAATATTTTTTTTTAAAAAAAGAGGTTATGTGTTACGGGAGATATGAGTATTTCTAGTGATAAGTTCTATAGAAATGCAGAACAGTAGATGAGGAACCCTGCTGATGGTCTTTGTGGACGAAGTGGTGGATGAGGTGGCATTGGGCTGGGCCTTGCCAGACAGGTAAATTTTATGGGAAAGAGATGGGCAATTCAGAGGCTGGAAAGCACAAGGCCTATTCCTGTGTAGTAAAACCCCAGTGAGACTGGGGCTGAAGTGTGGAGAACAGATCACCTCATTTTCCTATTTTAGGGTTCTCGACCCAGGATGACTTCAGTGACTAGATCAGAGACTGTAGAAGGTGAGTTTTGTACCTTTTACCTTGGGTTCAGGTTTCTTCACTATCCTCAAATGGTTTCCTGGCTCTTGGTGGAGCTGGAATCACATATTCATGTATTTGCACAGGTACTTCCTCAGTGTCTCCATGATCTGGGGCATACATTTTCCATTTCCACTTTTTTGCACAAATACTCAGTTGTGGGTTTGATTTTATATTTTGACTTTTTTTTATAACAAGTGCTAGAAGAGGAACCAGTGACATCTAAGACTCATGATCATCAAATGGAATCAAATCCCAATCCTGTGGAAGTGTGTACTAAATCGTCTGCCTCCCTGGAGATGACTCAAGGAGTTTCAAAGGAAAGAAGTCACGTTGGCTGTAGCCCTCAAAAAGGGGAGTGTTGTGATCTCAGCCACGAGGAAGGACTTCAGCCCAGGTCCCTTCATTTGTCTCCCCAAGAACAGTCTGCCCATCATCGAGACAGAAGGCAGTCCTGGCGGCGAGCAAGTATGAAAGAAATCAACAGGCGGAAGTCACTGCCTCCCTTTCATCAGGGCATCACAGGTGGGGTGCTGCACACATAAGACAGTGGAGTTGCAGCTCAGATAAGATGTGGCAGTGAGGTATGGTAGAAAGAGCGTAATGGGACAGACTTGACTTGGCAGAAAGAGTGTAGTGGGACAGACTTGACTTTGCTACTTATCAGCTATGTGGCGAGTAAATCACATCACCTCTCTGAGCCTCAGTTTCTCGAAGTACAAGATTTAACATGGAAAGTATCTAGCACGTTTCAGGAAAAACTGTGACCTTAAGCGGCTTACTTAAACCTCCTTTGTCTTATGTTCCTCATCAGTAAATGGGATGAAATATCTATTTTATAAAATTATATGAGGAAAAAAATGAATTGATTATAACACAATACTTGGCACATGGTAAATAGCTCAAATGTTAAGCTATTGTGATTATTTTAAAGATATTATCTCACTTCCAGATGGCCTATGTCTAACAGGAAAACAGGATAAAAACAGCCACTTAGCATATCAGAAAATTGCTGCCCCAGTTATGCTCATGTATTTCATAGGTGTGCCAAGAAGGCATCAGCAGTTCCCTAAGGTCACCCCAACCTTTATCTCTGTTCCAGAGCATGTGGACCTAAAATTCTGTATCACAGAAAATCACTGATGTAATAAGATTATTTCCTTGTTATTCCTGGCCATTTGCCAGATTTCTTTGGTTATAGGCAGAAGGTATTCTGCTGTTGTTTTTTTTAAACTAATAGCAGTGAGAAGTTATCAAAAAAGGAGACAAAAGAACTTTAAAAATACAACCAGCTAAAGGTAGAGGATGAAAAGACATGTATTTCTCAAATTCTCAAAGCAAACGTCCTTTGCTGTATAATAACTGATGTTTTTAAATGAGCATAATTGAAAAAACAGTGTCTGCATCCTGTACTTGTTTGAGGATTCAGTGACATAATTATGTAAAATGCCCATCCAATTCGGGCTGTCTCCCCATGTGACCTTGGCAAGTTACCTATTACCTAGTCTTTGTGCCTCAGTGTCATCATCTGTAAAATGGAATTGATAAAATATTTGCCTCAAGTTTTAATGAAGTGTGTGTAGTGTTTAATAAAAAGCCTTTTACATAACAAGTGTTCAACAAATTACTATTAATGTTATCAGTTCATTGTAGAAGACAGCATGGTATTAATTTGGAAAAACAGGTTTTGGTGACAGACTTGGGATTGAATTCTTATTTCACCAATTTCTGGCCTCAAACAAGTCATCTCCCCTCTGAGGTTCAGTTTCCCCATCTGTAAAATGGAGCTCATAGTTTATAAGAGGACTCTTAAGACAATGTATTTAAAGCATACTGCAGGACCTGTCATAAAAATGCTCAAATGTTTCCGTCTCCTTTGAATGGTGAATATAAAACATCAAAAAAAGTTATTTACCTATCTTGTTTAATAAGACAAGGTTTTAATGTAATACATAAAAGGTTCTTATAACTTTTTGAAGCTAGAATGCATAAATGGGTAAATTTCATTCCTCGGTGATCCTGAAAAAAATCAGATGTGACTATATATGAATTCTCCCTTAATTAAAGAAGGCTGCTTGAGCATTCTTGCCTTAAAATGGACTGCATCAAGAGAGAGGAAATTTTTCAGGTTTTTTATTTTGATAATTGTGAGTATAGCACTCCTTAAATTGATATTTTATGTTAGAGCTCAGCAGATCCATCAGCGTCGACCTAGCAGAAAGCAAACGGCTTGGCGCTCTCCTGCTTTCCAGTTTCCAGGTGAGATTCTCGGGAATGGGAAATGCTTTTTTTTAAGCTGTTACTGTGAGAGTCCCAAAAAGAGATCAAAATTGTATAATACATCTGTTAAAATTAAAAGATGTTTCTCTCTAGTTTGGATTAATTTAAAAGCCAGATATAATCCTAGCAACTGATTTTGTCTGGACTAGGCTCTCTATCCCATTGGTACTGTTGCTGCTAACTGAGCAGCTAAGGGTGAGAGATTTCCCCAATCTAATATCTCTTGCCATTGGCAGCAAATGACAGGGAATAATGGTAATTTAAAGTAGGAGTAGGTCAAAATCTAAGTTCAAACAGACATTGGAGGTCTGACTACATACTAAGTCAGTATTATATGGCTAATTGATGATTAGTTTAGAAAAGCAAGTCATTTGTGTGAATTAAATGACCATTTTTTTCTCAAACCAAAAATCAAAATGTATAGTCTTACCAACATAGTTTTATCCTGATCTATTTATTTGTTATATGAAAAATCTTAGGTATGAAAATTAAATCATGTTTATTTCACATTTATTAAGCATGTAAAATTACATGAGCTTTGTTGGGACTGGCCTGGAAAATCTTGATTGTTGTATTAAAAATGCTTTTCTTTATTTAGTTCTCTGTTCAGAAACTTGAACCTTTCCTAAAAGGCACTGAGGGCTTCAGTCTTGAAAGTTTTAGAGCCAAAGGTAAGTTGCTAAGAACAGGCAAGTGAGCTTTGACCTTGAACTGTACCTTCTGTTAAAGTCAGTTAAAGCCCCACTTTTGAACCCCATTCACAGGAGCTGCTACCTTACAAAACCAACCCCCCTTGGAATGGCATTAAAATATATATATGCTGCCCTGACCGGTTTGGCTCAGTGGATAGAGCGTCGGCCTGCGGACTGAAGGGTCCCAGGTTCAATTCCAGTCAAGGGCATGTACCTTGGTTGCAGGCACATCCCCAGTAGGGGGTGTGCAGGAGGCAGCTGATCGATGTTTCTCTCTCATCAATGTTTCTAACTCTCTATCCCTCTCCCTTCCTCTCTGTAAAAAATCAATAAAATATATTTTT